GAAGCAACCTAGAACTAAGGAGAAACTTCCTGACAGTGAGAACAATTAACCAGTGGAACAACCTGCCTCCAGAAGCAGTGAATGCTCCAACACTGGAAGTTTTTAAGAAGAGACTGGACAGCCATTTGTCCGAAATGGTATAGGGTTTCCTGCCTGAGCAGGGGGTTGGACTAGATGACCTCCAAGGTCCCTTCCAACTATACTGCTCACAAAAATAAAGGGAACATTTTACCACGGAACTGAAAGGGTTTGTGTTCCCTTTATTTTTGTGAGCAGTATATTATTATTATTATTATTATTATTATTATTATTATTATTATTATTATTATTATTATTATTATTATTATTATTATTATTATTATTATTATTATTATTATTATTATTATTATTATTATTTCATTTCTCATTTAAGAAGATTCTTCAGTTCTCATCTTTCCTGGATGGGAAGCGAAACATTTTCAAGGAAAACAAAAAAAGAAGAAAGTCCAGTTGCCTTTTGAAAAAGCATCTTTGGGACAACCAGGACCTGGATAATTGAGAATCTTGATAGATGTTTAAGACGCCCCATAGACATGCTGGCTGAGGGATTCTGGGAGTTGAAGTCCACAAGTCTTAAAGTTGCCAAGTTTGGAGACCCCTGCTCTATAGGATTGGAGGCCAGCTTTCTTGCGCCCCCAGTGTGGCATCAAGCCATCTGGAAGTCCAAAGAAATTAAGTCCCAACAGTGTGGGACAGACAGGATAGCATGGTAGTGACCTCCAAGGTCCCTTCCAACTTTATCATTGTTATTATTATTATTATCCCTGCAAGACTTTTGGTCAGTCATTTTCTCTCATTAGTACAACACACGACAGGTAGTCCTCACTTAGTGACCACAATTGGGACTGGCCACTGTGTTAAGACATCACGTGACTGCCACTTAAGATTTTGCTTCTGCCTCCTCTATTAACTTTGCTTATTGCACAACAGTTGTGAAGCGTGCCGTGATCACGTGACTGTGATGGTCGTAAATGTGAGGACTGGTTGCAAAGCTTTTTTTTTTTATGTCATCGTGGCTTTGGATGGTCAGTGAACGAGGCAGTGAGAATAATAGAATAACAGTTGGAAGGGACTTTGGAGGTCTTCTAGTCCAACCCCCTGCTCAAGCAAGGAACCCTATATTATTTCAGAGAGATGGTTGTCTAGTCTCTTCTTAAAAACCTCCAGTGTCTGGAGTTGAGAAAGGCTGAAGTTTAGGTGCCATTACAGATGGAGTACCTCACATCACTGCATGCTTTCAGAATTCAGTGCAATGGATTTATACCGTTTATTTGCCTATTTTATTTATTCGTTTTTATTTATACCCCACCTTCATTATTTTTTTACAAAAAACTCAAGGTGGCACATATACCCACATCTTCCGCCTCCTATTTTCCCCACCACAACAACCCTGTGAGTGGGTTGGGCTGAGGGAGAGGGACTGGCCCAAGGTCACCCAGTTGGCTTTCATAGCTAAGGCGGGACTAGAACTCAGGGTCTTCTGCTTTCTAACCTAATGACTTAACTAGACCAATCTGGCTCTAGACCAAGTTATTTATTTAGCACTAGCTGTACCTGGCCACGCGTTGCTGTGGCTCAGTCTGGTAAAAGCGTGTGTTGCTTTTACGTCCAACAGATGGCGCTGTTTTTCAAAAAAAGCATGTTTTACCTGTCACAGGTGTGACATCTATATAATATAGGTATATAAAAACACGTGCGTATTCAAATGCAACGTTGTGTCAAAATTTCAAAGCAATCGGTGAAGAACCTTCGGAGATTTAAGATTTTGAACAAACGAACATTTACATTTTTATTTATATAGAATATATTATATTATACATGCACTAGCAATATATATGCAACTTGTCTCAGGGATCAGATGCGCCAAAGCAGGAAGCAGCAATAAGATATTAGAAGATACAACAATCTTCCTTGAATTCCCGTTATCATCTGTTTAGGGCATCCATGGGTAGGTTTGTGTGCATGAGTGTCAAAATTGGGAAGAAAATGGATGGAATGTCACACACTCATTCAAAATGGGGCAAGGTTTACATTACATCTGCTGCCTCCCTGATTTTGACACACAGGTGGATGTAGCTGCATCAGTCTTATCTAGGGGTCTCCAAGCTTGGCCCTTTTATGACTTGTGGACTTCAACTCCCAAAATTCCTCAGCCAGCGTCATAAGTCATAAAAGGGCCAAGTTTGAAGACCCCTGGTCTTATCCCAAGTAAATTTTGGAGTAAGAATGAACTGCCTCCTTTAGGAAAAGAGAAAACAGCCTTGTAGCTTAATCTCAACCCTGCAGAAGGATGCTTTGGAAAGACAGGCAGATACCTGGGTAGGGTGACCTTTGCCTTTTTCAGAGACTCCCCTCTATTTTTTCTTCAATTAAGACTAAATGTACTATAGCTGCAAAATTCAGGATCTTGAAGGAGCTGTAGCTTTTATCTTAATCAAGTTACTAGTCCTTAAGCCTCTCACTTTGGCAGCATGAAGCCCATACCTGAGTATAAGCTTGGAGATACCGCATTCTTTTTCCATAAAAGTGCCCCAATTCTTCTTTTCAGCTACACGCAAGAAGTTGTTTGAACTTGCCAGAGCTTTCTCAGAAAAGACCAAAATGAGGAAGTCAAAAAGAAAACAGCTTTTGAAGCACCAAGTGTATCCTTTCCTGGTTGTATGAAGTGATCTCCTGTTGGTCTCCCAACCTGGTGATCTTGAGGGCTCCCCCTGCTGTTCTTTCTTCATGAATGAGAACATCACTCCAGGCCTTGGTGGAGTGTTAAAGAGACTGTAATCCAAGTGTAAAGAGAGGTTTACTCTAGTGTGGACTTGCTCACATATTCCCTTGTCCTCATGGCCATTGCTGAGAATTCTGGGAAATGAAGTCCACAAATTTACAGTATGAACAGGAGTTTGAATGCAGGATTCTTTGCCTTTCCCCAATCAGCTGACTACCTATAGTGTTCTGGTGACCTTCAACAGGTTGGCTGATTCATAAAGTTTGCAAAGTTCCTTCTTGGCTCTCCTCCTGCTCCAAATGGGAACAGAGATTAAAAATAGGACCTCTCTTTCTCGCCTAGTAATCTCAGAAGCAGAACAACCAGATTCGATAACAGCTTTGTCCTATATACAACATCAACTTGGTTAACTCTCAATACTCTTCCCCCCCCCCCCACTATGTATTCAAAATGGACTGTGATTAATATAGGTTTTTGGTGTCATATTTGTACAACTTGGTATTTTTGATGTTGCTGCTGTTATATTATTATTGTTAGCGTTGGGATGGTGACATTGTTTGGTGGGTGGTATTCCTTCTTTTGAGAACCGGGCATCAGAATTTCATTTTAATGTGTATTGTTGTACATGCAAGTAAATGACAATAAAGATTATCCTATCCTATCCTATTCTATCCTATCCTTTCCTATCCTAACCCTACCCTACCATACACCTTGACTGTGGACCTCCAAGAAGTGGTGTGGAGTCCAGTCTCAAACCCCAGGCAGGTTCAGATGATCTTTTTCCAAATTAGGACTGTGTCAGGATCTTGCTTAGCTTTTCTGCTTCCACGGACTCTCAATAAAAGTTCCTGTTTGAAACAATGTCTGTTTCAAGAGTTCTGCTTTCTTGGGAGTACTAGCTGAGGCAGGACCTTGCAGACTGTTTTTAAGCGGCGTTGCTCTCATTGGTTAGAAGGTTTAGGATTTCCATCTGATATATGGTTTGGATTATGTTCTCCTTAACTCCAATCCAGGATGGGGACTGCGGCCTCAACAGCAAACCTTCTTGACGATGTTGAAGGACATTCATGTGGTAAGATCAGGACCTTAATACGCACATTAGGGAGTTCAATTGGCCCAGCTCCCTAATTGCACCCTGAGTTTTGGGACTCTGAAATTATATCATCCATTTGCTGTGGCCCTACAAAATATAACTTCCTGCTCCAGGAGGAATGTGTATAGGTAGTCCTTGACTTACGACTACAGTTGAGCCCAAAATTTCCATTGCTAAGTGAGACAGTTGTTCAGTGAGTTTTGTCCGTTTTATGATCTTTCTTGCCACAATTGTTAAGTGAATCCCAGCTGTTGTTAAGGTAGTAACACAGTTGTAAAGTGAATCTGGCTTCCCCCTTGACTTTGCTTGTCAGAAGGTCGCAAAAAGGGATCACATGATCCCGGGACACTGCAACCATTATAAATGTGAGCCAGTTGCTAAAGACCTGAATTTTGATCATGTGACCGTTTGGATGCAGCAACAGTCTTAAGTGTGAAAAAGGTCATGTCACTTTATTCAGTGCTGTTGTAAATTCGAACGGTCACTAAACAAATGGCTGTAAGTCGAGGACTACCTGTATTGTAGAAATGGATGCATCCAGGATGATATAAGGCTGCCAGCTGTAATCAAGGACATTGGTAGTGATAGTGTTGAGAGCTAATGATTTTATTGGAGGAGGATCAGAAACCTTGATGTGGAATCTGGTTAGGTTAGGGTTATACCACTTCACAGTGCTTTATAGCACTCTCCAAGCCAGGGGTGTCAAACTGCCAGCCCGCGGACCAGATGCATCATAGCCAAACCGCGCCCACCCCATTGCCGGCAATGGCAAAAAAGTCGTGATACGTTGCGACACGTCAAGTGATGTTGCGAGTTTGACACCCTTGCTCTAAGTGGTCTACAGAGTCAGCATCTTGCCCCCAACAATCTGGATCCTTATTTTATCAACCTCGGAAGGATGGAAGGTTGAATCAACCTTGAGCTTGTCAAGATCGAACTCCTGGCTATGGGCAGAGTTAGCCTGCAATACTGCATTCTAACCACTGCACCACCATGGTTCTTCAATCATCTTTATAGTTGGCCACAAGAACAGCCTGTCTCTGACACTGCCTTTTCCTACCTCTGAATTGACACAAACTCCTAGTCTAGTTGTAAAGTTGGGCCACTGCAGATCTGCAGGCTTCAACCATCTCCTGCCTCTGTGTTTCAGATGAGGACTGCCAAATAAGAAAAAAATTACCTGCAGCAGAAGAACCATCAAAAGAAGTACAATAAGGTATGCTCATTTTTGTTCCAACAATTATCAATTCATATGGCAGGAACTCTGAACAGGAATATTCAAGGTTATTGCTGTTTACAAAGACCAAACAGCATTAAAAAATGACCTTATCTTTAACAATATATTCTTGTAATTTAAAATTAAAACAGACAGCCTATACATAAACTTTAATTTCCCATCAATATTCAAAAAAAGGGGAAAAAAACCACTGTTATTTATATTTCCAAATATTTTATGTTAGGTGACCAAAGTTTCCCTTATCTCAACTTCTCCCTTTTTTCCCTTTTCATACCAAAGTCTAATAGTCTTGTTACACATCTTAGCTATTCAATTATAATGTTACTTTATTTTCTAAAAGTTATCTATTTTCCACCATATTCAGCCCTCTAATTAGTAATATAATATCCCCTCTAATAAACCAAAGACATTATTTTCTTCAGCCTTACTCTGGCTTTCTTCCTTTGCCAGCTAACCTTCCATGTCAGTGCCTTTGAATCATCAAATAGTTCTCCCTCTATTATTATATATATTATTTGGAATAAGAAAGACCATTTGGTTGAAGTTTTTTGGAAGAACGAGCCCATTTGCATTCATTAGATCACCTCCTTATTACTCCAATTTCCCACAATTGTCCTGATAGGTTTATCTTCCATTCAGTCTGTTCTTCTTCCTTTTCCTCAAATTTCTTCTGATTGATATTGATAAATGTAACAAGATTGTTTTCACTTAGTTGAAAATAAGAATTCTGTTTGCCCAATATGAGATAACAGATATTACTAGAAAAAAAAAGGGGGGGGGGGTATTTGAGTTTCCAATATTAGATCTAAACTAAAAACAATTATGTATATTACTGAATAATTGGTTAACCCAGACTACACATATAATGGTTTTGACTTATTAGAGGGGATACAGTATTATTAATTAGATGGTTTAACATGGTGGAAAATAGATAACTTTTAGAAAACAGAACAAGATTATAATCAAATAGATAAGATGTGCATTTAGAACATTAGACTTTGTTATGAAAAGGGAAAAGGAAGAAGTTGAGAGAAGGGAAACTTTGGTCACCTAAATATAAAATACTTGGAAATCATAAAGAACAAATGTCAATTTGAATATTGATGGGAAATTAAAGCTTGGGGGGGGGAAGCAATAACAGGACATTGATTGTATATATAAGGATCAAATGCAAACGCAATTAAGATATGTATAAGCTAAAAATTATTGATAATAGTAACAAAGATCTTTTTATTTAGTTGATAATAATAAGAACTGTATTAGCCCAATATGAGATAGTAGATATTAAGGGGGAAAGAGAGGAAATATCTGGTGTTGTAACATGAGATTTATGCTAAAGCAGTGTTTCTCAACCTTGACAATTTTAAGGCATGTGGACTTCAACTCCCAGAATTCCACAGCCAGCAATGCTGGCTGGGGAATTCTGGGAGTTGAAGTCCACATGCCTTAAAATTGTCAAGGTTGAGAAACACTGTGCTAAAGACTTATCTATGCTATTGAACTACAATTGATTAACCCAGTCATCACGTTGCTTTTTAAATACTCAACTGTAAAGTGAGAAAATTAATAAAATATTATATATTAAAAAATTAAAACAGACAGCTATAATAAATGGAAATAGGTGGAGTTGCTAGCTAGTTAATGGGAATGGAGAAGACTTTGAAAATGATGATCTTAAGCAACCTTTTGCCCTGAATTTATATTTATACAATCCTTGGCTGTATAAACAGAGGCACAGAATCAAAATCACGTGAAGTATTAGGACTGCTTTATTTTAAAGCCTTAGTAAGGCCACACCTGGAATACTGCGTTCAGTTTTGGTCACCATATTACAAAAAAGATGTTGAGACTTTGGAAAAAGTGCAAAGACGAGCAACTAAGATGATTAAAGGCCTGGAGACTAAAACACATGAAGAACGGTTTCAGGATTTGGGTTTGGCCAGTCTAGAGAAAAGAAGGACTAGGGGGGACATGATTACAATATTCTAGTATTTGAGGGGCTGCTACAAAGAAGAGGGGATCAACTTATTTTCCAAAGCACCAGAAGGCAAGACAAGAAACAATGGATGGAAAGTAATGAAGGAGAGAAGCAACCTGAAATTAAGGAGAAACTTCCTAATAGTGAGGTCAATTAACCAGTGGAAGAGCTTGCCTTGAGACGTTGTGGGTTCTTCATCACTGGAGGTTTTTAAGAAGAGACTGGAAAGCCACCTATCTGAAATGGTATAGGGTCTCCTGCTTGAGCAGGGGTTGGACTAGAAGACCTCCAAAGTCCCTTCCGGCTCTGTTCTGATTAATTGGCCTCTGGTTTTTCTGATCTTACTCTGCCTGTCTAGATCCAGTC